AAAAAAAAAAAAAAGAAAGTCTATAGAAGTTGTAATCCGTTGCATAGATTGCAAATATTCTGACAGTGTTTGTACAACTGATCCAAATGTCTGCAAATTTAGGAGAATGAAAAGTTTAATTTCTTGCACTATTTGGTTTCTTTTAGCACCAGATACTTCAAGTATAATCTGTATAAAAGCCAAAGATGATTAAAAGGAAAAAATGTTAGGATGGAATTAAAGGTATACACTGCTGGTAGGTTTGCTTTCTGAAACACAGAAACTGAATAAAATCTTGGAGTTTCTTTTCTCTCTTTCACTATTTTATTTTTTCACTATTCTTGTCAACTAAACTATGTTCATTAGAATAACAACAAGCTCAACTCCAATGCACCCCAAACCACATATATGCAAAATAATATATTTTGCTGGTCCAATTATTTCTTGAATAGAAATCACAGAGTATAAAATAACATGATTCTGTGCATACACTGAAATCAATAACCTTAGAAATATAGATTTGTAATATTGTCTGGTATAGGGCCTAATCTTTTTAATTCATGCAGTAAACATTTACTGAGTTTATCTAGGGTAAGGCTAGTATTTTCATCACAGTGTCACCTTGCAAAACTGCTTTTGTCCTGCAATCAAAGAGACCTTTGAATTAAAAATAGAAATTCTCATTTAATTACCTGAAAATGGTAATATAAGGTATACAGAACCTCGTTCTGATGATCAATGGTTTTACATCTTCAAGAGAAAATTTCCACCAGGAATTTTTTGGCAAACATATCCACAGCTTGGTTAGAAGTATTAATTCTAACTCACCACTTCCACAAGGCAACTGAAAACTGAAAACTACCAGTGCAGGTAAAGTTTGCCCTTCATCAAGACTCTGGAGTGTTTATGGCTGGGCAATAATACCTATCATTTCTAGGTCTCAGAGATATCTATTGGACATGGTTAGCAGGCTGAAGAAAGAAAGAGGGTGCAGGGAAGAGGGGGCTGGGGGTGCAGTTGTTTGAGCAGAAAACTTTGGAGAGAATTTGGCCCACTGGAAAATAATTGTATGTAGTAGTGTTCATGCAAAGTAATTGGCACTGAGTTTGACACAGGACAGGCATGCATTCAATGGGATCTCCACTTTTCTCCACTGTGAAATAAATGTGAAAGCTATCAGAATCAAAATGGAGTCATTTTTATCAACCCAACCCCCCCAAAGTAAAACAACAGTAAAGGAATCCAGGAGGCTATGAAGAAAGGGTTCTTTCTCATGATTGCTGGTAGGAACTATGACAACAGACATCCAGAACCACAAACTTACAGAGATCACCAAAACCTCATACCAAAAGTACCTCTGCTGTATCTGTCCAGGAACTGTTAGCCCTGGATCAGCAGCATTCTTATTATTAGCTATTGCAGTCAGAAACTACTGCTTCAACTATCTGTTGCAATCATTCTGATTTTAAAAGCATCCCCACGTTTGAACCTCTTTGAATATGCCCACAGTTTACCATGACACTTGTTTTCCTATTGCAGTGCCAACTCCCCACTCCAATCAGTATTCATCGGAGAAACTCTATTTTTATTTAGGTTGACACCTCTAATACTAATTTATGCTAATATTGCATTTTGAAGAATATGAAGTACATTTACACACATTAACTTACTTGATCTTTATGACACCCTTTGCAGATGGATGGACAACTTCAAGGTTTTGTTTGGAAATATACAGTCCTAGTGCTTAGTTGCATATAATCTTAGGTCTAGTGCACTGTAGAACACATATCCCGGATCTTCGGATTCCATGATTCTTTTTCCTTTTATATTCTGAGCTGCAAGTGTTCAATAATGTGTACCTAATCATTACCTATGTCATTTAAAGAAATTACCTTCACTGTCTATCTTCATACTTTCAATGAGTAATTATCATCTCCGGGTGGTTTCCTTTCAGGTTTGTGCCTCTATTTTCCCTGGTTCTCATTTTGTAGAAGTGTTACATATCTAATGTTCAAAAAGCTATGATTAAAAGTTCTCTACATCAGATTTGAGCTTTTTAAAGTTAAAGACACCCTTCTTAAATGAGATACTTTGTTCTGGGCCTTGCTTTCCTTCAGGTGGCCTGGCTCAAATGCCAAACACGATTTGCATTGCGCTTGTGCGAAGGAAAGGGGCAGTTGTGTGGCAGTAGCTATTACTGTGCTATTGCCTTTCAGAGGTGTTGATTTTATGCTCTACATCTTTCCTGTATTCTTAACTTGATGCCCTATCTTGAATTTTTATTTCACTTTAATTGTCTGAATTTGAAGTCTTCCTCTTACTTTGGCAATTTCAGTTGGAACACTGTACTTGGGAAAAAATGTTCATAGAAAAACTGAAGGTTAAATCAGCTTTATTCTGTAAACAGTGCCTAAATTATCATCTCTTCCTCATAACAGCCCAATTAATGTTACAGCAAAGCTGAAAAGCCAAAAAGCAAGATAAAAAGATAGAGCTAGTGCGACATCTGCTGGTAAGAAACAAACTGCATTTCATCAGCCTCGGCAAAAACAAATTTCAAACAATAGCTCTCTTGAATAGATTTTATTCTTTCAAACCCATCTTTTGTGAATACCTGCTGTGTCTCAGGCCTTGTGACAGATACTGAAATGACAGGTAGTGGAAGATATGATCTTTACATTCAATAATCTTATACACTCCTAGAGAAGAAAGTTATCTACATACCCACCGGTAGACACCTATAGCCAAGAATGCCAGGCTGGGATGGTTAGGTCTAAGGTACTCCACTGCCCCGGGGGAGGACTACGTCTCCTGGGTCACAGAGGAGGTGATGCTGAAGTCTTGAAGAATGAGGAGATTTTTATGAGGCCACAAGGTAAGAAGTGGGGGTGGACCCAGAGGAAGGCGCCCATATTGGAAACAAAAGGAACAACATGAGGCAGACGCCGTGTTTACCAACCGGAAGTGACTTCGGGTTCTATGTAGTAGGCTACAGGGACCCGTTAGAGAGTATCAGCAGGACATTAAATAATGTGATTAGATTAGCTGGTTAGAAAAATCACCCTGACTGGGAAGAGAGGGAGGGAGGCTAGCTAAGGTCAGGAGGTACACAGGAAGCTCTCGAGAAAGCGCTGGAGAGCGACCTGTGGCTGGGTTAGGGCAGGGGATTTGGAGTACAAAACAGACCTTCTTTTGGGGGAAGAGGACAGATAGTATTAGAGCATGTGCAGATGGAGAATCTGAGAAAGATAACGCATTTTTAAAAGATACTTTAAGCTTATATGGTTACAAATAGAACATTACTTTAAACAAAGAGAAAGTCCAGCTTTTTACTGTAGAGATCTTTCTTGTCTTTGGCTGTGACTTTAGGAACGAGTTGGAACATTGCTCATCATAATTGATCCACAAATTCAAGCACACAATTTTATAAGCCAAATTTGGAGACTTTCAAAATACATTGATTAAAAAAACACAACTGAAATGACATTTGCTAAGTGCAGTTTAGAAACGAGGGCCCAGAGACAACCATTTGTATCCAAAGTACATAGTGTGTCAGTTAAAAATCACGTCCAAGGTCCTTGGAAAATTTGGATCACTGGGGCCGGGGATTTAGCTCAGTGGTTCCGCCGCCTGCCCCGCAAGCCCAGGGAGGCCAAGTTCGATCCCTGGTACCAAAAAAAAAAAGAAGAAGAAATTTGGATCACTGTAAATATTTTTTTTTCTAAACAAAGTCTTAACATGTTTAAACGAACACCTATAATTATAGGTTGAGACATTAAATATAAAAATATTAAAAATAATATAAATCCCTTTCCTTCCAGAAAGTCCCATTTATTAAAGATATGTGTGTGTACCTCACATATATGGACACAAAATATATACCTATGAATATATATATGCATGCATGTATGTATGTATGCATCACATCCACTTTTTCTTTTTCTTGAAACAGGGCCTCACTATGTAGCCCAAGCTGGCCTCGAACTCAGGATCGCCTGTGTCACAGTTCTGTGTTCCATGTATAACCCACGTAGGGTCACACAGAGGCACCACTATACCAGGCTGGACGACTGCATCCTCTTCAAGAGCGTGCTCCACCCCTGAAGTGTGAGGGTATATTCTACCCTTAACTTAAAACTATCTTCTTTAGTACCCATATTTGTCCTGTAACAGTGTAATAGTAAGAACAGATTACTTAATTCAAGTCATTTGTATATAAGGTTGCAGATTTAAAGGGTAATCTTATGCCTTTACCCATCTATATCAAACTACCTACTGATATAATATCACTTCTTTAACCAAGCACAGTAAAATACAGACGTCCATTTTTGAAGGACCAAATTCCATTCCTGCAACTGGGTTGTTAAGTGAATTGGTCACTAAATGAGGAGCTGTATATATATTGTACATTACAATATTCAGAACAAAGAAATGCTCCAAGGAGACTCCAACTTGGTGACTGTGTATTTATATAACTGTTACATGCAGTACTTCATTGTATAAGAGAACATAAAACTACAGGACTGTCCTGTACAATACAATCGGCAGAAAGTACAGTACTGTACTATAGAAGAAGCCACACTACAATGTACTATAAGGCTGCACGGCCGCTCATGTTCCTGTGACCCAATGTGCTCGTGAACAGTCCTTACATGGACAGAGAATATCTGTATAACTTATAAAACTTACAGAAGAGATCAGGTTATTGTTAAATTAACAACCCAAAATCATGAACACACACACAAAAATATATATAAATAAACACTCACTTCATTTTAAACACACATATAAAATATATATTATACATACGGTATGTTGAAGAATATGGTGAACTTTGAAAAAATTTATTAAATTAAAAAACATTGCCATTAATGTCCCTCAAAATACTCTCCCCAACCCCACCCCACCTGCTTCACATACACTGATCCCATCCTTCTTGCCACTTTCTGAAGCAGTTAGTCCTCTTTCATTAGAGGCTTTAACTGTGCTATCCTGGCTGCCTCAATGTCCTTGGTATATTCAAAACGTTTAGCTCTAATGGTCATTTTGACTTGCGGAAGAACCAGAATCATACGGTGCCAGATGCAGTGAACAACTGGAGAAAGAGCCCGTATGTTTTTCCACATTTGCTTCTCCGTGGCTGGCACTGAGCAGCAGCATTTGCTGTATTTTTTATCATACTTTGTAAAGACACTCATGACAAACGGAGTTCCAGACCTGGTTCAGAAAGTGAAAAGAACAGTGAGATAAATGTGTTGGAAATGAGGAGAGTATTTTGAGGGGAATTAATGGCAATGTGTCTTTTTCTGTAATAATGTTTAAAATTTAAATATTTACTGTATATTTTGATTACTTCTTGTATATTCACACATACAATCTTAAAACTGTTTCCATTAACACAATAGTCCACAAAAGCAATCATAGACAGCATTCTTTAAAAGAAAAAAGTATGTATTTATGTTATCATAATATATTAAAAAGGACACAAAATAATAAAAATTCAAACATAAAATGACTTAATGTGTTAAAACTACCACCTGGAGCTACATATCCTGTAATAAGAAGCAAGCTGACTTATTCTTGCTTACAAATATATTTGGTAAAAAAATAAAATTATATTTATTCTGAAGTCTATTTTTGAGTCATCTGCTTAATGCCTACACATGTATTTCAGAGGCAAATTTAAATGCCATCAGGTGGCATTTATTTTTGGAGTATGACACCAATCTAAATGAATTTTAAGAAATGAGGAAAAGGAAACCATGTAAAATTATATTTTATGTAAGAATCTGCTTTGGCTGGATAATCTTGATTTCTTCATCAGAGTGCTGGCACATCCTCGTGTACAAAACAATGAACCTCCATGAGCGACATATAAATAAGTAATAAGCGATACTGCCAAACGTGCAAGGTGTTTTGATCCCCTATCAAGTCTGCAAAGGGGTAACTGTCTGAAACTGGCATTCCCACAAGCTTTGACAAGCTGTTCCGGCAACCAACTGGATTAAAACACAGATAACGCTAATTTCTCTTTTGATGTTAAAAAATAAAACTACTCTAAATGCATTTGAATCTTTTGATGTAGGTACTATCTCTGGGAAGATGGTTTAACATTAAGCTTTGATTCTTATAGCCATACAAATGTCACCATTAGTTTAACAGAAATGTTTACTCAGTTTTGAATAAGACCACACAGATATATTTGCTCCAGCATTTGAGATGTGGTGTATTACAACAATACATAAACCTTTGGGTGGATGAATTAGTTCAATGCAATGAATGAGCTCCACTAGATTACAACATTTCTTCTCAACACAAATTCTGCCAAAACACTTCCATCTCTCACTGGATGATCTGAGTGGCCTCCTAAGTGGTCTTCTATTGTCTGTTCTCTACACAACAGCCAGTGGTCTTGATACAATCCCACTGAGGTCATGTATTTCCTTGACACCCTCCTATGGCTGCCAGTGGTGAACAGTGTGGGGATTGCTAGTGACTGATGTCATGGTCTAAGGGAGCATCCTTCCACTCTACTTCCTTTATAGCAAAAGCTGGAAAGCCAAGTTTTACAGTAAAATTTACTTCTCCCACTTCCAAGCCCCCAAGTAAGATTTTAAAGACAAAAGTTAAACCAAACATCTTCCTGCCATTTGGCCACTGCTGCCAGCATGCAGAGTAATGAGGACACTGGATTCTTGTGCAATGCCACTCTGATGTCCAGTAATGGATTCTAGGGTGGCAGGGAGTGGGTATAGTTGCTGGTGGTTTGCTGATCCTGAACGGCAGCTAGCATACCCCCTAAATCACCACTTTCTAGATAAGAGCAGATAGCAACTGCCCTTGGGAATGTACTGTAAAGAGTTGTTCTAAGAGTCACTCATTCCTCTACGCTTTGTAGTGACGTTCAAACACCTACTCTGTATAATGTTCTGTTAGAAATACCCTAGTGTTTTTATTTCCATTTCAAATGAGAATAAGTACACTTTCTGTCTAACTCAGAGTAAAATTCTAGATATTCCCCTTGGTGAAGAAGGCTCCTTGCTATCTTGCTGACATCATCGTCTACTACCCCCCATCTCCTTCTTCAAACCACCCAGGCATAACAGCTCGTTGCTCTTCCTGAAACACAAGGCACATTCTCCTTCCTTCTGGCCTATGCACTTTCCTTTTTGTCCACCTAGAAAACTCTGTGTCCAAGTGTCTAGCCACACGACTGACTCCTTCATTTCCCCTCCATCTCCTATTCAAATATCACCCACCCACAAGAGGAGGAAGGAGCTTCCCCAAACATGGCTGCATAAAAGAGCAACTGCTAGTAACACTCACTTCCTTCCTCTTCTCTAACCTTCTGTGTAGCTCTTATTGCCACTATTTAACAGGTACTTACTTGTTTGTGTGCTTATAATCAGTCTCTCCATTGACATGGAAATTCTATGAAACAGAAACTTTGGCACAGATTTATAGCCTACCTGCAGAACAATGCCTGGCTCAGAGCAGGTGTTTAAGAAATATTTGTTAAATGAGTAATATTTATTTGAGGTATTTATGAAAATTTTCAGTTAGATTAGGAAGCCAGAGACTGTCACAATTTACCAGCCACTTACTATGTCATAAGAACTATTCTCTTCCATAAGAACTATCCACAGGCCCATCCTGAATAAACAGAACAAAAGGAGCCAGGCAAGGCAATAGATAGTTGTAATCCATTCATTCAATCAACTTTTACCTATTCACATTTAATAAAAGGAAGCAAATTTTTTCACATTTTCTGCATGTGAAGCATTGTGGAAAGTCATAAATTTTTAATAAAAATGGAATAAATATCTGTTATCAACCAGGAAACCTGAGTTTCTCCAAAGTTAAACTGTTGGAGCCCAACCTTACCTCAGTTAAGAAATTAAAATGAGGGCCGAGGATTTAGCTCAGTGGTTCCCCTGCCTGCCTCAAAAGTGCAAGGTCCTGAGTTCAATCCCTGGTACCAAAAAAAAAAGAAAGATAAAGATGATACCCTAGTTCTATCTGACATTCTTATGATATTTAAAGGAAAATAAGGAAAAGCCATCTCTATTCATTAATAAGATCAGAGAAGCCTTCCCAGCAAAGTAACACTTAAGGTAAAATTCAAAAGGAATATGGTGGAATTTGCTAAAGAATGGAAGCTGAGGCCTGCAGGCCCGAGCTAGTGGCACATGTGAAGCATTGTGGAATTATCGTTTCCATAAAAATAAAACACTGGTCTTTTGTGCCTTTGTCTTTTATTAAACAGATAAAATTTGGCTTTCTCGATTCATTACTAAAATATAACAAAAATACATATGTGCGTGCATGCACACACACACAAACACTACATTATAAACAATGACAGATCAGTCAAGATGTTATGACTCAGCATGTGAAGTAAATAATCAGCATGAAAGATTTAGATGTAAACACAAGATTGAGGAAGATAGAGCATTCTGAATTTTAACAAAAGAGATATGATTGTCTATAAACAACATTTTCCATTTATAGTATATAATTAAATAACTTATGTGGCAATTAAATTACATGCCAATTAAATAGAATTGCAAGCTTTAATGTAACAAGTTAAAACAAGTGGAAGTTATTATTGAACCACATCAATTTCTTTTTTTCTACTAAGTTGAATTGACATTTTAAAAAAAAT